TCATGCTTGCAGTGGCACACTCAGCTGCTGCCTACATGCTCAGATACTCAGACCTTCTTAAACATATTACACATCTCTCCTCTCTGCACCACTTTCTACTTAAACAATTGAGTTCAAAAAACCAGCCTATGTCCTGGGGCAGTATCTAAAAAAACAGCTTGCAGGACTTGGACTGTTGCAGATCTCCTTGCCTCACACTCCACTCTGAAGGAGGCATTTCTGCTTTCCCAGTAGGAAAATGAAATTATGGCCAGGTAGGAAAATCCCCAGGCTGAACACTGTCAGAACCCTGCCCTGCAGTCAGAGTCCTCCCATTTGGAGTGAGGGAAGAGAAAACCATCTGTAACAAAAGCAATGCTTCTCAGTAGAGGGTGTGGTGGTAGCAACAGTCAGAAAATTATGTGTGAAGCACCAAAGAGAAGTGCAGTGACACTGCCCATCCTGCAGGTACAGGCCTAACAGCGCAAATGCTCTTGCTGCTAGTAGGCAGCACCCTGTTCTGCATAGCTCAACCCTATTTTGAGGAATATGGTAAAACACCTGCACTGAGACAGGGAGCACTCTTTGGAAAACACCACCAGACCTGCCGAAATGTTGGTGACCCTTTACTGTCCCCCTGCACTGACACAGCCCCGCATCGCTTACTTCAGCGTAAATCACTCTAATCCTCAAACTGACAGGTGAAGAAAGGAAAGGAGGAACTTCTGCCTTCTCAGGTTTGCTTCCCCATCTCCACTGGGGATTCCTTTACTGCAAACAGCCTGAGTATTACTGCGGTTTACTGTAGCAATCACTCTGTCTCCTCCTCTCCCACAAACCTACTGCTGATATTAGCACTGATCATACTAACAAGCCTGTGGATTTTATTACTACTGATACTAATAATACTGGACACATTACGTCTGCTCCTGCCAATAACAGGCTGCAGATATGATCCCTGCTAATGCCGATAATACTGGGGGATATTATCTCTGCCATTGTCGGCCCTGTAGATATTATTGCCAGTAATGCTGTCAAATACCACAGATATTGTCAGGGACCAAGATTAATAATGCTGAGAATGTTACAGCACCAGCCTTGCTGGAAGACAAATCCCAAATGAGAATGTGGATCTCTAGAGGAAGTCTGTTTGTGGCCTGCTATGCAGAGACAGAGCCATCTCTAGAAAGAGTGGTTTTATAAAGATCCCAGAAGTTTCACCCTGCTGGAGATGCTGTAGTGTGCAGGGAACAGCCTGAAATACTGTTTTGGTATTAATTATCTATCTATCTACCTATCCATCTGTCTATCATCTGTCCTTCCCTTTCTCCCCATCTCCCTTTTTCTCCTTGTACAGTGCCCGAGACTACAGTATGAGTGATCCTCATCCTTATTTAGTGCCTCTGGCTCACCCTAGTTCTCATCCTTTTAGCTATCAATCGGGGGTTATGGAACAATGACATATTTGCATACTATTTTTCCCCTTTATCATTCTGGACTTCTTACTGCTGCTCCTTAGTCTGACAGTGACCCTGCTGACTCTGTACCATTACAGCATAGTACAACACTAGGATCGTTAAGAGCCAGGAATCCCTGTTTCCAGCTGCAGCTTGATACTGCAACACCCTCAGTGGTCTCGGGAAAGTCATTACATGCTGCAGGGCCATCTCTGGAAGATGCTGGGTGTTCTCTGGTGGGGAAGGTCAGAGTGGAGTTGCAGCAACATTGGTGGCACACGTAGACTCTAAGAAGTGGCACCCACTGTGCTACACAAGTGGTGGTGAACTTCCGTAGCCAAATTACTTAAAAATAATATGAAACCATCTCTCTGCTTTGTCTAATCTGTCACGCAAGTTGGAGGGTCTACAATCACTGGTGAAAAACTGACACAAAAGGGATACATGGTCTTAACAGGGCAAATCCTGACCATCCTTTCCAGGTGCTCACCTGAGAAAGACACACTGAGTTTTGAGGAAAGGCTTGTAATCCGACCGTTCCTTGTTGTGACTAGTAGACACTCAGAACTACCTCCTGGCTAGCTTCTCTCTCCATGCCATAGTCTTCGCAGGTCCCCCCTGGAGGTGCAGCCAGCACATTTGGTAGGTTGGGATTTCCCCTCTTCCCTCTAACTCCCTGTGAGGGACACACCTGGCTGTCAGCGTCCAATGCTGAGCCCACCTCATGCATCCGTCTGGCTCCTTCTGCCCAACTCGGGAGTTCTGCTACATCATCTTGACACATAATTATCTCTCCTCTTCTTAATCATTTGTGCTACTGTCTAATGTAGGCACCAGCTGCAGCAAGGAGGACCTGGGGGAGGGGGTGTGCTCGGATAGAGGCTCCTCTGTCTTTCTGCCACCCTGTTCCCCCCAGCCATCACCGAGGTTGCTAACAAGGTTTACAGAACCGGGGATTCAGGAGCAGCTTGGTACTTTCCCCTTTGTGCTGAACTGCATTCCTCACAGAGAAATCCTTGCAACAGAGCTGGTCCAACAGAGCAGAAATAAAGAGAGAGCAGTGCTGCTTCTGCCTCCTTTAGGAAAGAGCCACCCCTAAGATACAGTAGTAGGGAAGTTTAAGTGCATTGAGAGCTCATAAGGGCTTGTCAACATGAGAATAAACCCTGCAGTTAAGAAACTGCAACAAAAAGTGCTCAGAAGCTCTGGGAAATACTGAGAAGGTATATGCATCCAGCATGAGTGTGAAAGAAAAACATGTACTGGATTTCTTGCCAGGCTTTCCTAATCTCCATCTCAGCTAGGAACAATCAGAGCCCTTAGAGCTACAGGGGAGATTGCCCAGCAGTGAGTGCAGATCACTGGCTGTGCCAAACCTTCCCTCAGGTGCTCCCCTCTAGCCTTAGGACTCAACTCTGTGCCGTGATGATGTCTTTCAGCATTTCTTAAGACAGATGTGTGACCCCAGATAACTCAACTTTTGGCTAAGGGTGTTCAGCAGCTGGCAGAGAGTCCCAGGTAAGGTTTCCCTGGGACAGGAGCGTGACATCTCCCTGCAGATATCTGGGATGGAAGGATGAAGGCTGTTCTCTAAGGCAGTTGCAGCTGCGTTATGTAACTGCCAACTAAAACTCTGAGAGCTAAAAGCAAGCAATATCTCCAGAATTGTCTGGTACCTTTTTGATTCCTAGTGGGATATGTGGGCTCTTGGCCAACAGCATGCAGAGTGCTGCTTGCCCTTCATAAATCAAATCTGAGATGAGTTAAGGACAGACACGGAGAGTTGTTCTTACTGTCCATATATCATTGTGAAGTGTCACAGTCTTAGATGGCTGCTTGATTATTTCTGTGTTTAATTGTACTGCTCAAAAAAAGCTTAGGGTATGAGGCTAGAAGTGACTGTGTGGCTGCAATCTAAGGTGGGATGATGTTTCCAGGTATTTGGAAAGAACAGACACTAAAGCCAAATTAAACTGCTTAATTTCAAAATGAGATATGGAGGCACCATGTTGAGAGCTGGTGATCACCACACTGGACTGGATGAGAACAGGGGTTCACAAAAACTCCAAGTAACTGCTAAGACATTTGTGCAACCATTAGAGAAACTTGTCACTCAGTCTGAAATGTCACCATTTCCTGTACAGGTAATGATGGGAAATGCTGGAGGGGTTTGCAACTTTCACAGTCTCTTATTCCTGGTATTTTTTGACTTTGAGGCATTGACTCGGCCCTTCCATTGCTACGCTTTTTCTCTTAGCTGGGCCCTACTGCCATCTAGCTGGGAAATGGATCTTCCTCTGGGGTCTGATCCAATTTCCAATGGCATCAGCAAAAAATCTTCCCATTTGCTTTAATAGGAGCTGAACTGGGTCCTTGCCTCTGGTTTTACTTTGTATTGGGGAGAAAGGGGTTGGTCACGATGACTGCCTTTTTTTCTTGGGATTACTGTGTTTATTTGGATTCAAAACTTACAGATGTGAACCTCATCAGAACCAATGCTGAGAAAACTGCTAGCAAAACCCCTAAATGCAGCCTCTGCCTCAGGGGAGCTTTCTCTTCTTACCATGTATCACAGAGAACTCTCATGTTCTCTTGCACTGCACAACCTTGGGCTTACAGCATACGCAGCACACTGAGCCACCTGCACTGCTAAGAGGTCCCCCCACGCAACAGGGAACAGCGGAAAACAACATCCTGAAGGCAAGGCTGAATCAAACAAACTGATCAGGCACTACTTTTAGAAAAGTTCACCTCCTGGCCCTCGGTTTTTGAATGCATCACAGTAAAAGAGTAAGATTTAAGAACAAAAGTTTACAAAGCCACCATAAGAGCATCAAGACCTTACCCACCCCTCCTCACTCAATCTAGCTGGACCTGAGGTTCTAGCTTTTGCCTCATTTCAGGATTCAATTTCCCCTGAGTCCACAAGGTAGGAAAGAAATGGAGATACCTTAACCCTAATTCCTTAGAGCCCTAGCAAAAGGCTTAAATAACAACCTGAGTGCCACAGTACTCAGAAGACCTCCTGTTCTGCTTTCAGATTGTTGCAAGCATGGCAGTTCTGCTGTGGTTGATGCTACCCATTGAAAACTGGGCCCTTATGATCACCAGCTAATGTAGCTCATGGCACATCACTGGGCAGAAACTTGTTTGCAAGGGGACTGAAAGATAACTCCCACATTGCTGGTGCTTCTCCGAGGTGGCATTTTGTTTGAAAATGAGTGAGTTGGGGAAACCATGTTTACCCATAGTTCAAAGTCCGGGCACCGGCTGGCACCTGGGGAGTTCAGTTCCAGCCGTTTCCAGCAGTGAATGAACTTGGGATCAGCTCCAGCAATGGAGACGGGTCTCTGCCTGCCGAGCAGATGTCTGGAGACGCAGCCTGTCATGAAAGGGCCTCGGAAGAAGAGCATTCCAAGCCAGCAGGGCAGTGACGGGGAACTGGTCTCTGTTGCTAAAACTGATCTAGCCCCTGGAGCAGCTGCAAACCTTGGCCTGAAATTGGAGCCTGTACATGGGGACAAAGAATATAAAAGGGAGGATGAGCTTCTCCCCTCCCCCTACCTTCATCACGTTTCCTCTTCTCGCCATTCGACCGAGGAATCCCCAGGATCCCGTTAATGGAGTAAGAGCCCACTGGATCATTGGAGGCACTGGAGACGGGAGGGGATGCTGTGCTGGGCACTGGACAAAAGGAAAAGGGAAAAAGGGCCATGAGGAGAGCAGCACAGCACTCAGGGATCCCCCAGCTGAAAGCTACACATGCCACCAGTCTCATAGGAAAGCATGGGCTCTAAGCAGACTCCCAGTCCCTCTCGGTGAAGGACCCATACTCACTCTACTGCTAATGTTTCTGCTTCCCAGCTTTGCCAGTGCATTCCTGTACCATTGCTCCACAGACTTCCAGTACAGGGCCCTTAATAACGAGTGAGCGTATGCCATCAAGAAGCTAAACTATTTTGTTATATCCCAGTTCAGAACAGGCTTCCCAGTGCATGCCATGGTAACTGAGTGCAATACTACTTAGGCCACATTCTCTAGTGACTTCCTAGTCCGTCCGTATTTTGCCACATCATTTTCTCTCAGCATTTTTCCACCAAGAGTGCACATGTTCAGTCTTAGTAAGACCAGCCTCTTACATGTCCACCCAAAACACCCATTGAAGAATGACCTTTCTAGCACAGGTTAGAAGCACTTCAGTGTTGGCCAATAATTTCAATTTCCTCCTAGAACAAATAGTGGGTTAGTGGTACATACTCCAACCCAGATGAACAAAAATCTAGCATCTTCCTTTTGCACTGACCAATACCAACAGGCAGACTCCTCCTGCCACTCAGGGCTCTCCAGGATTGCTTCTGAGTTTCCAGTATATCAGAAATGACAATTCATCCAGATTAGAAATTATCACTTCATGATAATTAGAGCTTTACAGTATAGAACAAGTAGAACTATGCATCCAGTAGGCATAGCCATTGTGTCACAGCATGTCCCAGTAATGGGAAGAATATCCTAATCTCTTACAGGCCACTACCCATCATTCAGCTAATAAAGCACTAACTTGAAGGAATCGATATCTCCAGCACAAGCCTTCCAGGATGGAGCAGAACCTGTTGACACTATCCGATGCAGACCCACACTTTCCAGTACATCCCAGAGTAATGAAAGACTCCAGTAACAGCATTCACAATTCCTATCACAGCTCAGCCAATGCATTCTGTAGACATTGCACTACTTTTCCAAGAAGGAATAATATCTGCCAGCCCATCTGCTGTGCTCAGTGATTCCTAGTCCAGTGAGCAAGTCCACGTTAAAAGGGCATCTTCCATACTGGCCCATTAAATCCATTGTGCTCCTGAACACAATTTGCATATAGGATTATACCTGCCAGCTCTGTCCCATGCAGACCAGCACTTTCCAGTAAATCCTTGCGGAGCAACTGTTTCTCAGTAACCACCAGTATCTAAAACAATGTCCTAGGCCATCAACAAGCCACTGAATTTCACAGTATCCCAGAATATTGCATACTTTTTCCTGCTCTGAGTTGTTACTGGATAAAGCTATGCTGGTAACAGCAGACACATGCACCATACAGCCCACAAAGTGAAAAGTACCTCATCACACATCTAGTACAGCATCTTTAAGCACAACAGACTAGGAGACATTTGGTCACTTCAATACAGCCTCCATCTTCTGCTCACCTTGATAAACCCATCTCCCCCAGCAGAAAATACATTTTCTCAGTGAAATACACCCATGAGATACCTGACTGCAGAGCTAGAACAATGAAGAACTTAGTTACGAGGCATCAGGAGTATCTTACCCATATCTGTGTATTACTAGCTCTAAGAAATGGACCAGTTCCAGCAAAAGGAGAGAAGAGAAATTGGGAGAAAGAGGGGAAGAGAGAGTCAGAGTAAGGAGACAAGAGGTGAAGACTGGTGCTTGGACAGGATAGCAGTAGACACTTCTCTCTAGGGAGGTGAAGGAGTGAGTGTGAACGTGAAATGGGTGTTAAGGCAGAATCACTTTGGGCAAAGCCCTACCTTGGGCTGGGGGCTGGTTTCTCTGCCATGATTCCCTTCTTTGCAATTCAATGAGGGAAACCAAGAACAGAAACTTCTGATTTCCATTGAGGTTTCTTTCCCCCCACTCCCTCCTCCCTTTTGCTCTGCTTAACATCTGCTTGTCAGACACTGTTCCTTCAACTAAGCTTCATCCACATTTCCATGTATCCTGTCACCACCCTTCATGCCAGTCAACTTACCGATAGTGTGTCCTGGTGCAGTCACGCCTGTCCCGCTCCCATCTGGTGTTGGGTGAAAAGGTTGCTGAACTTTGGTTCTGATGATCCTGGAAAAGAGCAAAACATGTTCAGAACTCAACTGCAACTTCTCTGTGCCTTTGCATACCCATGATCCCTGCTATCAGAACCTGAAGGCCTGATCTGAGCTCTGAGTGCAGCAGAGTGGCTTCATTTGCCATCTTGAGGTCCTGATTCTACTGCTTTAATGGGCCAGTTCCCAGAGAACTGTCATCTTCTCCTCCAACTTGGGTATTCGCTGTGTCACTATGATGCTCAGTGAACAAGCTGGGATCTCCTGTGTGTTAGCAACTGCTTTATCACTTATGATTTGATCTGCCAGCATGATCACAAGGCAATTTGTGCAGCTAATACAGCCACGGCTGGATTTACAAATAGTGTAGATTTAATTTTTTTGTGTACCTGAAGTATACCTTTCTGGCATAGAACTGAATGCATTGAACTGATGGAAACTTGCCCAAAGCCCTTGCCCTTCATAAATGAGAAGGTGGGAGCAGACGGCATCTGTAGGAAGTGGTGATGGGTCTACATCACCAGGAAAAAGAAGCTCCAGCAAAGAGGGCAAAAACTGGTGTTTATCAGGTGATGAATGAACACAACTTGGGAACTCACAGATGTCTCAGTGAATGCCACAAAGCTCATAACACAGCTCAGGATGCAAATAAACTGGAGTGTAATTGTTAGTGCTTCATTTCGTGTTACATGAAATCTTTCACCACTAGGTCACTGGTTTAAATCCAGCTGAGGTCAGTGGTGAAGGAAAATCACTAACACCTAGTACCTGACTGGCAAGGTCCTGCCTACTGGCAGATGCTGGTATCTGTGACTCAGAACAACTGACTCACCAAGGAACTCAGCAAATAAGCTAAGACCTGTGGAGGCCATGGAGACTAAATTCCTTCCTGAGATTACAATGAGCCTCTCCAATTAGGGTCAAGGCTGCAGAGGCTCTTCAGCCTGAGTTTCTGGAACTCTCAGCCCAGCATTCTATTAGCTTTAACTTCTCCCCAAAAATCTTTCCTGAAAGTGAAAGCAAATAACACATTCTCCCTGTCCACCAAGAGCTTCCCTTTAAAGATTCGTTCTAAAGAATAAGCTGGCAAAGCTTCAAAGAGCAAATATATGGCTGGTGGGAAGTAAGGCAAGGATGGAGATGGGCAGAAATACTGAAAGGGCGTTACTGATAAAGCACAGTTCCTGATATTTAAACCTTCTTAGGAGAAGAAATGTATTTCAGGGCGTTATCTCCTCAGCGTGTTAGGAAACTCCAATACACACATGGTGAAGCGTGAGCAGTAGCTGGAATGGCAGAGAGGCGGCTGCGATGTAGCTGGAGACAGGGAATGTCACGGTTCTAGCTGGGGATGGAGATCCAGATCCTCACCCCATATGGGTCAGTGGTACCAGGGGCCCTAATCTATAGGTGCTGAGAACCTACACAGAAGGTGTCTGAGGGCCTCAGCACCAGATTCTGTGATTGTGCTCATTTGTACTAGCTGAGGAGCTGATCTGAGAAGACTGTGCTAGAGCAAATAATAGAACTTTTTTCTTCTTTTCTGTTTTTTTTTTTCTTTTCTCTTCTCTTCTCTTCTCTTCTCTTCTCTCACATTCCCCCTAAAACCCCCTGAAGTGCCACTCTGGTTGTGTGAGTTTATTGATTTCCCCCAACCCAGAGAAACAGAAAGAGGGAATGGGGTGCAGGCAAAGGGATGGAAATAGAAAGCTATAAATTATTTGTGACAGGAAAGCAATAGTGCCAGAGTGCTGAGCACAAGTCCCGTGTCACTATTAGATTCCTTTTAGCCTGATGACACTGTAAAAGAGGTTAAGTGTCTGATGGAATCGTACACCTTGGGGGCAGGGGCAGTCCAGGAGCAGAACAAGCCACAGAGAGCGGGTATATCAATTCTCCAGGCCAATAATATTCCCCTCATTGATCGCAACACAAAGTTCAAAAATCTCATTATAGCCAGGCAGACCTGGAACTTTTTAAAAATCAATAGAGTGATATAATGTATGTATACTTTGTATAAATGTATCTATCCATCCATCCATCCATCTGTCTATCCAAAATCTGCCTGAGGGTGTCTAAGTTAACCTACACATTATAGTGTGTTATGTTCTATTGTACTTTAGCGTTGTGAATGGATTAGAAGATTTCCCCTGCAGCCTCAGATGACATATTATAAAACGTCGTGTTAGCGGTGAGGTGACATCAGAAGGTTCCATTCATACTGAGAGATGACATCAGATTTGCCATCCATACTGGGAGGTGGCATCAGACGGCTCAGCTTCCACGGAGGGGAACCATGAGATGAGCCTAATTTTACTGAGATGGCCGATCAGGCTGTGCTGAATCATGCTGCATTAAAATTGCAAAGTTGCAAAAAGCCATTTAGAGTAAAAACGGCCTATGAAACGATGGTAGTATAAAATGCCTGTCCATAATGCTTCAAAAACCCAAGCAAGGGATGAAGAGGAAAGTTCAATTTCCTTCCCTGCTCAGTTCACAGACTCTTGGCTGAAAATGCCAGTTAGTGCCAGTTGTGACTGCATTTGCTGAGATGTGTCCATTAGGAACCGGAATGAGACTCACCAGCTCATTTCACCAAGTAGCTGTCAGCTGGTAATGATTTTTGGTCACGACCAACCAGGGCCAGATTTCAGCTAGTGACCCAGAGGTGAAAGGCTCTATTCAAAAACCTTCCTTTCCCAAGAATGAAACTCGTTTTATGTCAAGAGAAAGTGTCTGGAAACAGTGAGCGAAGGGGAGCAGTTCTGGTTGTGCAACCTCCAGTGACTTGGGTCAAATAATTCTTGGCATCAAATGTGAAGTAAATCTAATGAGGTCTCAGGTAAAAGGCATTTCCTATGGCTAAAAGAAGAGGCAGGTCATGAAGAGGCTGTCCCCAGCTCCTTTGGCTTACAGTCACAACCGAACTCTAGTGTTGTAAGGAAAGAGGAGAAATTTCAGGACCCTAACACTCAGTATAGAATATGGCAGCACATCCCCCGGGTCGATTCATTTAGGGATAGTGATAAACAGCAGGAGAGCCAGGCATCACTGCTGCTGCTTTAAGAGGCTTTGAGTGAGCCTGTCCTACACGAGACCACCTAATGAAACAGCAGATGAAAGATGAAGAGAGCTGACCTGGTCCTGTAGCAACAGATGCAGCATAATAATGCTGTCTTTAAACTTCAGGATTGCTGAAAGCTTCTCACCCTTAGTGGAGACTGAAATACATGCTAAGGCAGCTCTGCTGCCTCAAATCCAGGATTTCTGGATTACTGCTATATCAGAGGGAGCAAAACCTTGATCATCTCTTGGCGCCTTTGATGGTTTGTTCTTGCCTCTAGACACTGGAGAAAGACAAGCCTGTTTGCAGAACACTTCCTCAGACCTTCTCAAAAACAGAAGGGGCACAAATCCTGGCATGCCAGTCAGGAGGCCTGATTTCTTGAAGTAAATGCTGGTATTTTCATGTCTTTCTTTTCTCCCAAAGAAATTGCCACTTTGGACTAAATTCATCCCTGCTCTCATTCCATCACAGTCAGTGACTCCAATAACAGCATTTGTGGTTAATTAGGGGCATAACTGGTACATACTGTAAATTCCCATTTTTCATTTTCCAGTGGGAGAGTTTTACACAAGCTGTCTGATCTGAGTTTCAGAGAATATACACAGATTTAACACGTAACCTTCTGAAGTTTCAGCAACAGGACATTTATAGATCTTTGATTGCAGTAAAGCAACTGAACTTCATTTCACAATCTGAATTTAATATGCGATGTTATCTTAAGTAATGGCATATAATGTCATTACAGTACATAGTATCATACTGTGAATTATACATCCATTCCTGGAATTCATGAGTTACCATAGTTGGCTTGTAGTAACTCTCTCTCGAGTTAATACTGCGTACAGCTCCAGCTGAAACCAACTGCCTGTTTCCAAATGCCTTCGATTTTCTTAAATGTTTAGCATTAGATCATGAATTTCCAATGTTTGATTTCTCTTTTGTTATTTTCAGTAGTTTTAATGCAATTCCTTTCACTTATTCTGAATACAGATGGACAGACAAAAATGATCTCTCCTAGTATGTCAATTGTAACAAGCTCTAATCAAATTTTGTCAAGAATGTAGAAAAGAAATGTTAGGCAGTAAAATTAGCTGTGCCATAGTCCTTTCTGAGACGCAGAACATTCTTTCAGTCCTTGTAAATAAGCAAGTAAAAAATCACTTCTGAAGCTATCCAGAAATTATTTGCTCAAAGAATAACAGATCATAGGAAATATCTCTCACTTCTCTGACATATCTATCCAAACTCTCTTACAGCCTGACATACTCAGTGGTTTCTCCTCTCTTACTATTGCTGGCAAAATCTTTAGACAGGATCTCAAATGAAAAGTCATAGTAGGGCGTATTGAAAGGAGAAGGGATACGCCAGAATCATCTGGGGTCCCAGTCTAGCAGTTTTTCTAATCCCAGAAGAAGAGGCTTGTTGCACTGAGGGAAAACCCCAAAGAGACCATGTCAGATTTCAGAAAGCACTGGCGTATACTCGCTTTGCTCATATTCCTTTGTCACGGATTATTTTTCAGAGTGGAAGGATACACTCAGCGGAGCTCCAAAGTCCTTGTAATTGTTTTGGAGCGTTCATATTTTAAATGCTCCATATTAGAAGCACATTACAAGACCCCAGGGTGTGCATTACTGGGCAATTAAAGCGGTTCTTGGAAGGCTAACATTGCGAAGCTTCAGCCTTTTCTCTGCAGTGTGTCCAAGGGAGGCTGTGATGGCCAAGGAACACACATCCCGCTGTGCCGCACGGCTTAATTAGCGCCGGGCTGCACTGCTGAGCCATGGGCTGCGGCGGCGGCCGAGACCGGGCAGCCTACAGGGGACTCGGTGCAGGGCTAAGTGAGACGGCGATGACTTCTCTGCTTCCTATGGAAGCACTCGTGACCACCCCAGCGATGCTGGCTGTCAAAGCATGCCTGAGGAAAAGAGGGAGACTGTGGGATGGGA